TTATGTTATTCTTCTTTGCATCATCTAGCAGCTGCTGGATTGATTTCTTGTGGTCCCTCACAATTTTTAAGAAATTTTTCTTTTCCTTGTCACTAATTGCAATCTTATCTTCTACATCTGAGCTTCTGTCCTCACATTGGCTCATTATGGTGCATAAACTTTCAATGAAGTTTTTAATCTCCTGGAAATTTGTTTGCATCTGTTTTATGGATTCCATTTGTTTCCTATGTTGGGATTCCATCATGTTCTTTAGTGCCTCTATTTTTTTTATCTGTGTCCACTCTGGATTTATTAATCATGTCTTGCAGTATGGGCACAATCTGCTGTTATCTGAGAAATTATTTCTGATTTCATTTTTTCCAGATCCTCTTTTGTTGCCAGTTCAGGGAGTTCAGGTAGTTGAGTATAGGAGTGTTTCATCTCGTTTCCCTTTGGGGTTGCTTTAGGTGATCTGGAAGTCTGGTTTTGAGACTTGTTTATGTGTCTTCTCATTTTGATGGGGGGGGTTGCTGTTGGCACCCAAGCAGCTCACCTTCTCTGCGCTGGAGGTGGTGGTGGTACAGCAGCCTGGAAGCTTCCTCCTGGGCATTTGGAGTGGCTCACCTCCTCTGCCCCTAAATATGTTATTATAATATGTTTACATTGGTTATCATCAAAGGGTTATGTTCTAAATATATTTTTGTGATATGTTTGCATTGATCATTTTCAAAAGATTAAATTTTCTGTGAAAAAAACCAAGGTTTTATGAAAAATATGCTTTTGCTACCAAACTAAAAGTCATAAGGTTTCATGCATATGATTGTGATAATTATTATTAATTTTCTGGTGTACAAAATTTATTCATGCTTTCTGACTACATAGGTTTTCTAATACATTGTTTATGATAATAACTTCCTTTTGATTCATGTATTTGCATTTCTCTTACAGTCCAGCTACTTATGACAACAGGCACATTTACAGGTTGATATATTTTCTTTAGATGACATCCTGTCAAAAGAACAATTTGAGTAAAAGTTTTTGTGTTTTTGTGGAGGGATGAGTACATTTAACAATGGCTATTTTATACTAAGATGGACATTTAAGTGTGTTACAAAGATAGTGTCATCATGCTAAAATATTATGTGTTTAGTGTCATGCTAAAATATTATGTGTGGCTCTTGATTTGAAGCTCTTTTTTCTGTTAACATTTTACAGGAATTCAGCTACTAGAACAACCATGATTGATTAAAAAAAAAGTCTTCTCGTTGGCATAGGAAAAGTCTTTATGAACAAAACCTCAGTAACACAGGAAGTACCACAAAAAATCAACAACTGGGATCTCATCTTATTACAAAGCTTCTGCACTGCAAGAGAAACAACCAACAGAGTTAAGAGACAACCTACAATGTGGGAAAATATTTTTAGCAGCTGTTCCTCAGGCAAATGACTATTATCTAGAATATATAAAGAATTTTAAAAAATCAGACCTCCCAAATTTAAAGACCCAATCCAAAAATTGGCATCTGAAATGAACAGACATTTCTCAGACAAAGAAGTAGAAACAGCAAATAAACATGAAAAAATGTTCAACATCACTGGTCATTCGAGAGATGCAAATGAAAACAACACTGAGATTCCACCTCACCCCAGAAAGAATGGCTGCTATCAAGAAATGAACCAATAACAAATACTGGCAGGGTTGTGCGGAGAAAGGAACCCTTCTCCATTGTTGGTGGGAGTGCAGACTGGTGCAACCACTGTGGAAATCAATATGGAGATACCTCAGAAAACTAGGATTAGGGTGAAGGGAGTGCAGGGGAATGGGGGAAAAATAAGCACCAAGATACATCATGTAAAGATACACGATCCCAATGATGAATGTAACTGTATTGTATACCTAAAATGTACCAATAAACTCAATGGAAAAAAATAGGATTAGATGTCACATTTGATCCAGCTATTCCTCTGCTGGGTATCTTCCCAAAAGAATTAAAACAATCATATCACAGTGATATATGCACACCCATGTTTATAGTGGCACAGTTTGTAAAAGCTAAAGCTTGGAAACAGCCAATTGCCCATCAACTGGAGCCTGGATAAAGAAAATGTGTGCTTTTTTTTTTTAATGAAATGGACTACTACTCAGACATAAAGAATGAGAAACTAGAGACATTTATAGCTAAATCGATGCACATTGAGGCCATACCGGTTTTTTTTGTTTGTTTTTTTTTTGTACCAGGGATCGAACTCGGGTTCTTGCACTTGCAAGGCAGGCAGCAGAACCACTGAGCTAAATCCCCGGCCCTGAGGTCATACTCTTAAGTGAAATAAATAGGACACACATGAGTAAATACTGAATAGTTTCTCTGGTGTAACTAGTTTTCTGGAGAAACTAAAAGTGTAAATAAGAATCAAAATGTATAACTGATAATATGAAATAGGAAGAAAAGGTATAAAGGGGTAAGGGAAGTGGGAGAGGTAGGGGAAAGGAAAAAAATGGCAACAAAGTCTTTGTGAATAGGGAGGGGTGGAGGGGTTGAAGGGAGGGCAGGGGAAGGGGGAAAAATAAGAACCAAGAGAGTATGTAAACGTGCAACTTTCCAATGATGAATGTCATTATAATGTATACCTAAAATGTACCAATAAAATACAAATTAAAAAAAAAAAGAAATGGGAAAGCTGACCAATGCCAAGGAAAACCAGAGAGAGAAAGGGACCAGGCACAAGAATGTACCTTTCCAGGTTATTTCCACCCCAACCTTACTTCCTCCATCTAGGCCCCACCTCCTAGGACCACATTCAGCTATAAACTCTTCAATTATGAACCCACTGATGATACTAGTATCCTCATAATCTAATCACCTTCCAAAAGCCCCACCCTTGAACACAGGAGCCTTTAGGGGGGCGGTCTTTTTGATCCAAATTCTAACATCAGGGCTTTTGTAAGCTTTTCTTTTCTTTTCTTTTCTTTTGGTACCGGGGATGGAACTCAGGACCTTGTTCTTGCCTGGCAGGCGGTGAAACCACTGAGCAAAATCCCCCGTCCCTTGTGTGCTATTCTTCACTGAAAGAATGATGGATTTCAGAAATGGAACAGAAAAGTGTGCAACTCTTACCAGCCACGTAGATTCAGATATATCAGCTCTTTTGCTCACTACTGACCACAGCAAAGAGGCCATTTATTTGGGAAGAAGAAAAAGGATTTATTGAGTCATCTCTGAGGAGACAGAAGGGTCCATTAGCCTCAGATTACCATCCCCACGTGTACAGGTGGGTAAGGGTGTTTCACAGTAAGGAACAGAGTGGAGAGCGGAGCCCGGAGATACAATGCGGCTCTCCACACCTGCTTTCCCACTTCCAACCATCTTCAGCTCTCTGTCCTCCCAGGAAACCGGGCTCCCGTTGCTCCAGACGCTCCTCCTGGGGCAGCATCTTCACAGTCTGTCACTGCTGTAAGGCTGAGCAGAGGAAGGGGTTCTGGTTGTGAGCTCAGCGGGAGGAAGTTTGGAGAAAAAAGTCTAATTTAAAATTCCATTTTGTACTGCTGGCTACAAAAAGAGCCTGCAGGGTGAGAGAGTAAGGCGCACAGAAAGTGTTTGGGGGTAGAAATAAACTGAGCACATTTGACATTATTTGAGCCTTAAATGATGAGGGTAATTGTAACACTGAATTTAAAAATAATCCACGAGTTTATTGTAATAAAAGGAGAGAAGGCCAGGAAAAGGAAACGCCCCAGGAAATGGCAACTAATAAATGCAGAAGGATTGTACTTCGGTTTCCTCATCTGTCGGGTGTAGATAACTCACAGGGTTGTTCCGCGAGTAAATACGTATAAAGCCTCACAAGCTGGCTGTGGCCAGATCGGACCCTACTACTGCAGGAGTTTTGCTAGGTCCTGAGAGCGCCCAGCGACCACCGATGTGCGGACACCTCCGCACTTCCTAGAGGGGACGCAGCCAGAACCGCGCTAGCCCAGTGCCGCAATGACGTACTTCCGGCCTCTGTGGCACGTCACCCCTGGCGCGGCGGTTGTCAAGGACTGCGGCGGCTGCGGCTCCGGGGAGGCTCAGCGGGCGGCGGTCCGAGTGGGGGCCGAGGGGACCGGCAGCCCACGTCCCGCCCCGCGGCCCTGGTGAACGGCCCTGCCGCGTGTCAGGGTCGGAAAGCGGCTCCCGAGCTCTGGTTCTCCGCTGAGGGCTGGTGCCAGACCCGCAGCCAGGACAGTGCTTCGGTCGCCTGCAGCCTGTCAGTCTGATTCGCGCAGTTTAAAGGCTCCTGCTGTCTGCTGGCATTGTTCTTAAACGAGTATTCCAGGGGCCCAGTGTGCCCGCCAAGCTCTGTTTTAAGCACTTTTCAAGTATTATTTACTTCTGACATTTATGAGGTAAGCCCTATTATGTAGACATTCCCCCAAAGCCCCCGCCTTTTTCTTTAACAGCCAAGAAGAAAATGCGGCCGCGTGACTTGCCCAAGGTCATCAGCTGGCGAAGGACTGCGTTTCCGAGATTCGAACCCAGCGGTTCGCCTGAGTCCTCTTTCTTAAAACCTTTATCGTGCTAACTCTGCTCTTTCTGGGTGAGCTCTGCAGCCCCGACCCGGGGAGTTGCTTCTCTCATCTGAGTCTGGTGCTCCCTCTACTGAGAACGGTAGGCTCCGGTTTAGAAGTCAGGATTTAAGATAAGAGTGTCTGTATCTGAAGACATGAAAATGTGCCAGAGAGTGTCCCAGACCTAATAAAACAGTAGCTTTATTTGCATACACGATTCCCACTTGCCCACTCATCTTGTTCTTTGGACAATAGGAAGAGATTGTAGTGTTGGTGGTAAGGGAAAGTAGCAACTGTTGATTAAGCCACCACGGTACCAGTATCGCACATCTTCTCATGAAGAGGTTAGTTTGCATGTTGTTGTTCGTTCTACTTTGTGCAGGACGACTCTGTATGCATTACTGTATTTCATTTTGTATTCTCAACAGCTTTGAAAAACGGTTATTGTCCTGATTTCATACATGAGTTTGGGGCTCAAAAAATCAAGTAATGTACCCAAGATCACTGTGTTAGTAAGTCAGAATCTACAACCTGATCTGCCTGTGTTCTCTGCTGCCTCACACATACCACCTTTTACTTTTCTCGTGTAAATAGGAAAATTATGGGTTCATATGAGCACTGTTTGTGTGTGAGTGATTGCAACTGCATAGGAAAGTCTGAAAAGATAAAGTCCAGTCTTTATATTTCTGGGGAGTAGAACTAGGTGCAGGAGTTCTATATTTCTTTGTATTCTTTGGATATGAAAAAATGAGAAGTAATACGACAAGGTAGGTTGTGAACTGAGGGCAAATGGGGCTCAAGCAGTTCCTGTTGTAGGAGCTGGAAGGAGAAATAGGCTCGGCTGAAATGGATGGAGAACATATCAGAGGAAATGTTACCAACCTCTTGGTTCTGTCTCCCATCACTTCCCTTTCTGCTTTCTCTGTTCAAGCCACATCGTTGAACTGGGTGTTCCCTGAAGAGCCCAGACATGGAAGAAGTAGGATGGCGCTGGTAATGGACCCATGAGTTTCAGAGAGTAGACCAGAAGAGTTTCACCATTAGACAGCTTAGGGAAAGCAGGCCAAAAAGATCAGAGATTCTTATTCTGAAAACAGTGTAGATGGCCTAATCATGTGGTGCTGGTCAGAAATAGGAATAAAAGCAGTAATGAGGGTTATAAATCTGGAGGTGTTGGTGACTATTTTCTTCTGTGCTAGCTTGGCCTTCCTCTTCAAACACCGGCAAGCAACATTGCATAACTCCCAGGAGAATCACTGTCACAAAAGCGCCATCTGCCATAGCTCCTCTGGGATTATCTCACTGTTGGGCTTTTGAAGAGGCTGGAGATGGTGGCTACATTCCCAGATCTATGGATAAAGAAAACGTGGTATTTACACACAATGGAGCACTACTCTGCCATTAAAAAGATAAACTTGAGTCATTTGTAGGAAAAATGGATAGACCTTTGGACTATAATATTTAGTGAAATAAATCAGACATACAAGCTTAAATATCTCATGGTTTCTTTTATATGAGAAACCCAAGTATAAACAAAGAACAAAATAAAAGATAGATAATACCATAAGAAGTAAGGAGATAAATCTTTCTAAAGAGGAAGGGGATCAGGTCATAGAAAGAGGGAGGAATGAGGGGAGGGAAAGGGGAGGAATTAAGATGTGTTATGTATATGTACCAACTCCACACAAGGAATGTAAACATGTACTAATACATAATAAAGAGAATATTTATTTCTAAAAAAAACCCAGGCATGCCTTTATCTCCCAAAATTTGCTTTGTTCTTTTTGCACAGAACAATCTTTCCCAGTACCCATGTGGCTTGCTCCACACACCTCAGCTGTTATCAGCAAACCCTTCCCTGACTGCCACATGTGAAAAAGCAGTCTCTCTTCCTCCTTACTCTTCGTGCTTTTGCTTTTTTTTCTCTAAAACATTTACCACCACTTGAGTGCAGACTGGTCCAACCACTGTGGAAATCAGTGTGGAGATTTCTCAAAGAACTGAGATGAGAGGTTCCCTTTGACCAAGCTATACCTCTTCTTGGTATCTTCCCGAAAGAATTAAAAGCATCATACCACAGCGATACATGCACACTCATGTTTATAGCAGCACAGTTTGTAATAGCTAAAGCTTGGAAACAGCCCAAATGTCCATCAGCTGATGAGTAGATAAAGAAGATGTGTTCTTTTTTTATACAATGGAGTACTACTCTGCCATAAAGAAGGATAAGCTTCAGACATTTATAGCTAAATGGATGGACCTTGAGACCATACTCTTAAGTAAAATAAATCGGACACACATTTGAATAGTGCATCGTTTCTCTGGTGTGAGAAACTGAATGTGGAAATAAGGACTGAGGTGTATAATGGATGTTGGAAAATGGGAAGAAAGTGTTCAAGTGGGAAGGGGAACAAGGGAGGTGGGAGGGAGCAAGGAAGGAGGCAAGAAAAAAAGTGAAAATAGAAGGAAAAATGGAAACAGCTTTGTATGTAGGGAGGGGAGGGGGCTTGAGGGGGGAATGGAATAAAATAAAATTCGTTAAAAAAATAAACGTTTGGGGGTGGGGATTTAGCTCCGCAGCATAGCACTTGCTTGGCAAGCTCAAGGTCCTGAGTTTGATCCCCGGTACCAAAAAAAAAAAAAAATTGATGACGTCTAGCATTTCCCCATATTTAATTTTACAAACCAAATAAAATAAAATAAGATATCCCTACCAGATTAAAAATGTTTACCACCACTCTACAATATATGTTCAAAAATATGGTGAGTGTCTAAAGTTATTAAATTTATTAAAATCACTAGTTCATACAATTATTTTCTCTTTAGAAAATTTCCTTCATTCATGACCATCATGAATAAGACTGTTCAGGCTGGGAATTTAGCTCAGTTGCACCACCCTGCCTTGCAGGCACAAGGTCCTGAGCTCCATCTCTGGTACCACAAAAAAAAGAAAAAGAAAAAAGCCTGTTCATAACCCTGAAGAGGTCATGGATATTTGCCCCTTTATTAGCAGTAATTTTCTTTTGAAAGAAATAGTCCATTTTCCATCCACAAAAAGCTTCAAGGAGGAAGTTTCCCAAAAATTAAAGAGAAAGAAAAGCTAAGCTCTACCATTTTACTTTATTTTATTTTTATTTTTTGGAACCAGGGATTGAACTCAGGTCCTTGCGCTTGCCAGGCACAGTGCCACTGAGCTATATCACTGGCCTGAAGTTCTACCATTTTAAAGCATTAGAACTCATTTGCCTTATTTTAACATCTCTAGGCCAAGATCACTGCAGTCAGCAACCTCTGATCATTTGCCGTAGTACTGTAGGTCACTAGGATGTTTGTTTACTCTTTCAACAACATCTATGAGAAGAATAACAGTAATTTGCAATGCTTCAGAGTTTGTTTAGCTGCCAGCTTCTTTGTCTTCTTTATTTGTGATCTCACATCTTTATATCAACCTAAAAAGATTAGCAGTGTTGATTTTAGGATTCCTCTTTCTCAAATCAGGGAGGCAGAGGCTTAAAAACTGAAGCCTGAGCGTGCAATGGGAAGTCCAAGGACTTTCCAGGCTGCAAACGTACATCTCTTTCTCCACACCTCATCTAGCTGGAGGGACTTTGCCCTTCCTCCCCAAATGCATGTTTTCATTCCTCATTCTGACTTTATATCTGCTTGACTTTAACCTCCACCCTCCATCTTATTTCCTCTTTCTTGTCAACTCTTTTTTTTTTTTTTTTGGTACTGGGGATCCAACTCGGAACCTTGCACTTTTGAGGCAGGCATCAGAAGCACTGAGCTAAATCCCCGGCCCTCTTGTCAGTTCTTAGTGTCATGCGTGACACCTGGGCCTTCGTGGAGGTCAGTTTCCTTCCATCCAGCCAAAAACTTACTCCAAGTCTTACATCTTTCCTTTTGAAGAGAAACCCAGATAATGAGAGAGCAACTCGAGATAATCTGAGCTGTTGCATTCAGGATGGTCAAAATGGCACTTTCAATCTGCTGGGGGCATTTTTTTTTCCCGTGTCTGTTTTTCTTCCCATTTCACCTGCAGTCAGTGTTCTGTGTTTACTGTGTGTTCTTCATGAGACAAAGCAACTGGTTGTCACCAGATTTTCTGCATCTTTGTATTTTTTTCCCTGCAAATTATTTTTTAGATCTCAGGATTTCCCGAAGAAAAGATCAAGGGGGAATTATCAAGAACACATTGTTTATTTGAATGGTTAAACCTAAAATGTCCGCAGCCTTGGCCTTGCAGACTGCAGAAGCGCAACGAGGACTTGTGGAAGTGAGGGTGAAGGAGGAGGAGTCACCCCATCCCTGCGTGCGACATTCTGGCTGGTCAAGAAAGACCCTTGGAAGCGGGGAGCTCTTCCGTAGACGTTTCAGGCAGTTCTGCTACCGGGAGACCCCGGGGCCCCGGGAGGCGCTGCGTCGGCTCGGCGAGCTCTGCCGCCAGTGGCTGCGGCCGGAGACCCACAGCAAGGAGCAGATCGTGGAGCTGCTGGTGCTGGAGCAGTTCCTGGCCATCCTGCCTGAGGAGCTGCAGGCCTGGGTGCGCGAACAGCATCCAGAAAGTGGGGAGGAGGCAGTGACCGTGCTGGAGAACTTGGAGAGGGAGCTGGATGAGCCAGGAGAGCAGGTGGGAAGATGAGGGAACGGGTTTGCACCTATAGAACAAACATGAGGTTTCAATGCAACGAGAGGAAGGGAAGGAAAAGAATGTCTTTATGCCTAACTTGATCTGCTATATGCTCTTAATCTCTCCGCCTTTGGGTTTTATTTGCTGGCTTCTTGGTTCTTTTCTACCCAGTGACCAGAGGAGCGCTCCTTTCAGTATCCTCTGATACTTCATTCCCAGCTATTCTTTGTTTGCACTAGGACCCAAGCTGTGCTGATGAGCAGGAAGAGGTTGGAAGGGAGAAGGCAGCTCAAAGAGCATCCCAGGTGTCTTCGTGTGGCCAGTCCCAGAGCTTGGAAGAGCAGCTGCAGTGTAACTCGCAAGAGGTGTGCCTGGTGCAGGAGATCGGTGAGCAGTGGCCTCTTCTCGGGAAGCTGCCCCATTCCCTGCCTGTTCACGCACTCACCCATTCATTCAGTGTCTGCTCTGGGCCGTGCTCGGTGTCGGGTGCCGTGGAGACCGTGATAAGCAGAGCAGACCTGGTCCCCGCTCCTGCGAGGTTTACAGCTGAGAGAAGCAGGCAGGCAGACAAGCGCCTTCTCCTAGGGGCCTGGGTAGGACTGATTTAGACTGGGAAAGTGATTTTGCCCCTTTCTTCTCACTTTCCTGATTTTTCTCTTTGGAAAGATCACATTCATGCCATCCTCTTATTATTTCAGGTGGTAAGGCTGGGACTTGGGACGTGGAGTTAGCACCAGAGGAGGAGATTTCTGAAGAGGTAAAATCTCCTGGAGAAGCACCTGAAACACTCAACGGTGCTGCCACTCGGGTGCCTGAATGTGGAGATGCCTGTGACCAGGAGGGCAGACTAGACGGGCGCTGGGTAAGCTCCGCGGCGGAGAGGCCCCACGTCTGTGGGGACTGTGGGAAGAGCTTCACCCAGAACTCCATCCTCGTCGAGCACCAGAGAAGGCACACGGGCGAGAAGCCCTACACGTGTGGAGTGTGCGGGCGGGCCTTCAGCCAGCGGTCGGGCCTGTTCCAGCACCAGAGGCTGCACACCGGGGAGAAGCGCTACCAGTGCCGAGTCTGTGGTAAAGCCTTCAGCCAGAATGCCGGGCTTTTCCACCACCTCCGAATCCACACTGGGGAGAAACCTTACCAGTGCAGCCAGTGCAGTAAGAGTTTTAGTCGCCGCTCTGTCCTCATTAAACATCAGAGAATTCACACCGGAGAGAGACCTTACGAGTGTGAAGAATGTGGCAAGAACTTCATCTACCACTGCAACCTCATCCAGCATCGGAAAGTCCACCCTGTGGCTGAGCCAGCTGGCTCCTTGGAACAGGTAGGGCAAAATATGTGAGGCCAGACCCAGAGGCGGGGTAGCAAGGGTATTGTTTCTTGCTTGGTGCATAAGAGAGCAATCATCATTTCATCCTAGCATAGAAAGTTACAGGGAAAGCCAGTGGAAATGCCCTTATTTTTATGCTGAAATAACAGTGGCCTGTTAAATGCATGTGCCAAGTTCTACATGACCAGTGACATCCACAGCTTTGCAATGCCAATCTTGCTTCTTCCTCACAATATACTTCAGTCTACACACCAATGCGAGAAATTACTGAACGTACTTCAGGAACACACTACTTCATCTTTTAAAAAAATTTTTTAAAATTTAAAATTATATCAAAAGTAACTCACTAAGTATTTACAAATTAATTTAAAAATAGCAGTAAGATTGGTGATGTGAACTGACTTCTTTCCATATACTTAGAATTTGCTTTTTAAACTACAAAGGGCAGCATTTGATCCCTTCCATATAAATGTACAAAACTTCTCCCTATAGCTTTCTAGTAATAACCTTCAGTCAGGCCAAGGAATCAGAGCAGCCATGTTCCTGGGAGCTCAGTGGCTGGTTATGACTAGCAGTGATCATGATTATAAATCTGTGCGGAGACCAAGAAACTTCAACAAAAATCTGATATTTCAGATCTTTGATTTGAAAACTTGGGCTTCTTTGTATTTTTCTTGTGACATATATAATAAAAATTTTGTTTTTGTGTTTTTCTTTATCTTTTTTTCTGTGGTACTAGGGATTGAACTCAGGGCCTTCTGCATGCTAGGCAAATGTTCTACCACAGAGCTGTATCTCCAGCCTGCTTTATTCAGTCTTTTGTTTGGAAGATTTCAAGTATTCCAAGAGTAGAGAGAAGAGTATGATCTGCCTTGCATGTTGATCATTTTTGTGCAGTGCTGGAGGTTGAGCCCAGTTCCTAACACGTGCTAGACAATGTGCTCTACCACTGAGCTATACTTCTAGCCTCCTTGATTGCCTTTAGTAGCTTCCACATTTCTTGGCACTCCTGTTATTGATTACCACCAAGATTAAGATTTATTTCCCTTACTCTTAACTGTTTATAAAACTTTTGTGTGCATTTGTATACCAGGTAAGTGCTGTATTACTGAGCTGCACTCCAGCTCTACAAAGCTCTGTACTAGGCCCAGGAGACAATGCAATGGAAACTCTGGGGTAATAGCAGCCGCATGTGAAAGACTAAATACACAGCAGGTAATTTAAGAATAGTAGACTAGCTTGGTGTAGTGGCACATCCTTATAATCCTAGCACTTCGTGAGGCTGAGGCAGGAAGACCACAAGTACAAGCCCAGGCTGGGAAAGTTACTGAGACCATACCTCGAAATAAAAAATTGAAAAAGGGCTTAGAATGTAGTTTGGTGCAAAGGCCCCAGATTCAATTCTCAGTACTTAAAACAAAAAAACATAAAAACAAACTAGCAGAGTCACTGAAGGACCATATAGATAACTTCTGGATGCCCTTATCTGACGGGGAGAGGAGACGGATGGGGGCTCTGGGAAGTTATTGTCTAAAATCATGCAGCCAGTTAAAAGCAGACATGAGACTAGAATCTTGTCTCCTAATTCCTAGTGCCACTCTTTCTGCTGTCACTGGAAGCATTACACCACCAAACAGAAGTTACAAGAATATAGAACATAGAAGATTTTTAAGTCATCGGGAGGGTTTTTTTTATAGCTCAACATCTCCCATCTGTGTTTTAATAAATCACACCTGCTCTAATTTACAGTGGGGTTCAGGAACAGTTTTTCCTACTTATTTCTCATTTGAAGCATTGTATCTATTTTTGGAGTAATCATGTATTTCTAACTTTTTACTCTTATCTAGTAGGGCTTTTTTAAAAATAAGAATTTATTATTCACCTGGTTCAAAAATCAAAACAGTATAAAAATGTATCCATCTTTTCCTTTATAGGTATCCATTTTACTAGTTTCTTATGTTTTTTAATGTTTTATGTAAAAGAAAATAAGAATGTATAATCTTATTTCTTCCTTACACAGTGTGTTAATTACTTTTCTCTTGTTGCTGAGACAAAATACCCGACACCCAAAGTTAAAAGGGAAGAGGTTTATTTGGCTCACAGTTCATAGAGGTTTCAGTCCATAATCAGCTGGCTCTGAGGCAGGGATGGCAAAGCATCACGGAGGAGAAACAGCATGGCACACACAGGCCGCAAAGGTAATGAGGGAGTTACCAGCGTCTCTCTGCCCCTTTTATTTTATTCAGACTACTGGCGGACTAGGGTGGTGCCAAACTCATTGCTCACATGGAGTGGTTTAGTAATCCCATGCCCTTAACCCAGCATCACACATTCCAGATTCAATACCTCTGAAAAAGAAAGTCCCACCTCACCTGCATGAGGCTTTGGGAGGTCATCCAAACACAAACGCTAGTGCACAGAAAGATGGCATAGTATTTACACTCTTCTAGGCCTTACTGTTTTCATGAAAGAATATAGTCTTTGGAGATTTCTATATCATAACAGAGAATTTCCTTATTCTTGTCATGAGTGAATAACATTTCATTTGTTGGTGCTGCATAGTTTAACAAATGGTATAGATGGAAAAATCACTATTTAAAAATGTTTCATATTTGGCTACATTCTTCTCCCCAATTTAGTCATAGTCAGATTCTTTCTAATTCAAAACAAACAGCTTTCACATGAGCTAGGAAACAGGGTTTGGGCGATTAAAATTGCATGTAATTCTTCTAGAGAGAAATGGACAAGTAAAAGGTAGTGTTTTTCACCTTAGTATATTTGAGTTTATCATATATTCTTATACCTAGCATTTCAAACTATTTGAGTCATTGCTTGTGACCAGTTGTGAGTATTATTTCTAAAAATCTTAAGTGTCTTCCAGAGAATATTTTATTATATGTTCAGGTTAAACTATTTCCAATAGAAATATGTACAGATTTTAGATTAAAGTTAATGAAAGTGTTTAGGGGTTAAATATGAAGTAAAATAAACTTCTCAAGTAAATAGGTATTTCACAAAATGATACCATCCTGAGTTGATAAAATGTGTTAAAGTAACAATTTCATTACATCAAGTCTTAAAAAGATTTAAAATATGAACAGATTCAGGCTTTTAAAAGACGTGTTTCTGATGGACTGATTTTTTTTATATATATGTGCAACTATTGGATATTTGGTTTGTTTTCTTCTTTTTAAAACCTTTTCTAAGATTCTCGGGCTGGGGATGTAGCTCAGCAGTGCAGCACCTGCCTGGCAAGTGAGAGGCCCTGAGTTTGATTCCCGGTACCAAGCAAAAAAAAAAAACCCTCATTTTTCTTAACAGCTAGTAAGATACAAGGAACAGTAAGTGTTATATATGTAGAGAGACAGATGTACCACTTAGAATGCATTGGTGCTTAACGTGATTAAAATGACTGGAAATTTACCAAAATAGCTTCCTTTGATTTCTTACACTAATTGTGCTAATATTTGTATGCTAATTCTTTTATCTAGGATGCACATTCCCCATTTGGGATGAGAAGTAATATTGGACTTAACTGATAGACAATGGCCCATAGACTTCAGCTGCTTCTGTGACTATTTCAGTTCTCCCTGGCTGAAAGTCCTTAGTTGTTGGTCTTTCATATTTTGGAATTTCCCTTACTTCTCTCCTCCTTCTCCCATTCTCAATCCTTTTATTCAATCCTGAAGTGTCTCTAGTCTTGCTGTCCTTTCAGTATTTTTCTGGATCAGTATCCACCCCCTGCTCCTTTTCAGTCTGAAAGAATAGTCAAATTTCTGAGGTTGAACCAGGTATAGCAAATATTGATTGCAATCCAATTAAATATGTTTACTGGTTCTTGTGGCTATCTAGCACCCTCTGAACACTGTTCAGGGCTGTGGATATGTATGTCAAGCAATGATCGGGCCTGGGATGTGGCTCAGTGGTTCTGCCGCCTGCTGTGCAAGCACAAAGACCCGAGTTCGATCCCCGTACCAAAAAATAAATAAATAAAAGTACTACCCATGAAGTGACACAGTATTTAAAAAAAAAAAGAAATGATCAGGAATCTTGCAGCCAAAATCTACTGAATGCCTTCAACACTCTCTTTCACTATGATTTTGATTTCAAGGTCAGAACTCCAAAAGTATCAAGTCTCTGTCTACGTTTTCTATATGTGATAAGACTTTTCCTTTAAGACATAGAATTTATAGGGGAAGATTGTTCTATACTTTTCCAAAAAGACAAAAATTTTCTCTGAGAAGATTTTATAATATATATCAAAGTATTATATGAACTATTTTCTATGGAGGTTTTTTTTTTTTTTATCAGGGATTGAACGTGGGACCTTGCGCTTGCAAGGCAGACGGTGGCACCACTGAGCTAGATCCCCAGCTCGGTGGAGGTATTTTTAAATATATATACCACTCTGCTTCTGTTACTGGATAAATGTTGGGCAGGTAGTTGAGGAAAAGGTATAGCCTCTGCACAAGGACATGGAAAGGGGAGGGAAGTGCTCTGGCAGAGCAGACGATGTGAGGCCATCCCTGTACCAGATAGGCTCAGGAACCAGGACTTACTTTCGTGGCTGGATTGTGGAGCTCCTGCAAGGATGTACAGAAATGGGAGAGGGTCTTAAACACTTTAGGAATGAGTTTAATATTTGTTCAGTAAGAGAATATTAGCTTTAAAAATAAGTTTTTTGTAATTCACACTTGCATGAGAAAAGTAAAGCACAAGGATTTATAGTGATTTTTAATTTTTTATCACAGTTTTTTAAAAATTAAAAACAAAACCAACTACAAAGAGTACTGTGAAATATATGCAGTTTCTTAGACACTTAGACTTGGAGCCTTGAGACAGTTTTAAGCATCTGCAAATGAAAGCAACAACAAAAATGAGATGAGAGAAAAAGAACAAAATATGAAAACATGAAAAGGATCAGACAGAAGACAAAATTGGATGCCAAAAGTCTGGATTAAGCCATCAAATGGCAGCCAAAGAGAAGGAACAAT